ACTGTTTGCAACTCTGCATGTCTGCTAGTTAAATGTGCTGGTTGATTTGCTGCAAGACACGTGCTCTGCTGTCTGAACTACAGAGTGCAAAGCAGGTAAGTGCCTGCTTCGGGTCAATCTCTAGATTACTGGGTTTCTCCTCTGTGAGGAGTTTGTAGACTCTTTTTCTTTCTCCTTCTATGATTCTGATTCTTCTCAGGTTGTTGATTTTGAATGCTCCTTCTGCTCTGCTTTTCGTATTGATGCAGCTTACCGGGTTTCCTGGTTCCTCTAAAGTGTATATGTCGCAACAGATCCAGCTGTTGTTGAGGGGTTCCTAGTTCTTGAAGGAAAGGACTTCTTGAATTGATGGGGTGTCAATAGTGGTAGCCCAGTCCCTGTGTTGCCAATTTTAGTAGTGATCTCGATTATAGAGGAATGCAGTCTACGATGTGGTTTAAGTTGGATTGGGGGTGATGTACTCCTTTTTTTTTTTTAATTTGGACTATTTCTCGATTTATGCGTGTCATCCTTGCGCAGGGGCCATGCTAATCTTCTCTGTATCGTTCCAATTTTAACGGATGTCCCGAAGGACGGTGATGTACTCCTTTTAATTTATCCCGTAGATCTTTTTCTGTTTTCCAGATTTTCTTTGGATGGTCCCAGATGTGTTTGATTTGCCATATTCCCTTCTCTAGCCAGTGTCCCCGTTTGGTTTCTGATTTGGTGATTGGAAGGCATTCCCCTTTGTCATTCTTGATCAGTGGGTTGCCGAAGAGGGGTTGTCTGAGCCCTTCATCTTTTTTCTTTGGACCTGTTCGAATCTCTGGGAAGATGATTCTCCAGGTGTGAAGGATTTGCTTTTGGTCTGGGAGGTGTCGTTGGTGTTTCCCTGGAGTGCTTGATCGGATTGTCTTCGTTTCCCTCTTGGGAGTGGCTAGGATTTGTTGAAGATCCAGAAGAGGCATGTCATGTTGGTTGGAGCAGTGAATGGTGCAAGTTCTCTGATGTGATTTAGGGCTAGTGGGGTCCAATGGAGATTGTCATGTAGGGCTAATCTTATGATCCATTTGATTTGTAAAGCCTGAATTTGACGGGTTGGATCTATAAGACCTAGACCCCCTTGGCTTTTTGAGCTGGTGATTATCTGCCAGGCCACCTTGTGGATAAAGTGCTGCTTATCCAGGTTTCCTGTCGCTGGGAATGCTGCTGCTTTTTTCCTCAATTGGCTTTGGAAGTCAGTGGCTGGGAGCCAGATGGAGGTGGAATACAACATCATTGTTAGGATTGAATTGTTGAGCACCAGTACCCTGCCTAGCAGGGAAGTATGCATGGCTTTCCAAGTGTGCATTTTGTTAACCATTGAAGACAAGAGTGTTGTTGCCAATGCTTTGTGACATCCTTTGAGGTTGAGGTTGATGCCCAGGAAACGGATTGGTGAATCTGGATCTGTCCATTCTCCTCCCCCATCTTTGTATTCAGCCAGGTGTTCTTTTCTTTCTCCTTATTGCCTTAGTTAATTGGTTTATGTTTGACAGACTGCTTATTTTCCCTGTTGCAATTGTGAAGGATCGTGTACCCGTGGATGGCATTGTGAGAAGCGGGAGGAGCTTAGTGGATGAGTCCAGCTTGACCGGTGAACCCATGCCGGTGCTTAAGAAAATGGGGGTAAGGTCCGTAAGGATCGCTGCTTCTTCTTCTTCTTCTTCTTCTTCTTCTTCTTCTTCTTCTTCTTCTTCTTCTTCTTCTTCTTCTTCTTCTTCTTCTTCGTCCTCTTCTTCTTCTTCCTTCTTCCTTCTTCTTCCCCCTCTTCCTCCTCCTCTTCTTCGTCTTCTTCTTCTTCTTCTTCTTCTTCTTCTTCTTCTTCTTCGCCGTCGTCGTCGTCGTC